CTTAACTCTGACCATGCCATCCATTTTTTGACAGCATTTCTTTCCTAGTCCCTTCGTGATTGTCGGTTTGGTTAACGAATTATCCATGCCCTTGTTGCTGGCCTCGTGTACGGGCAGGACAATAACCGCGGAGAGTTTCAATTGAGATCATTTGATCGTTATCAGGCGGCAAACCAGAAGCGAGTATTGTGCGTACATCTTGCTCTGGCTGACGTTAGATGTCCTATAATGCGGATGGAAATTGAAGTACAGGATACACCTCTGCCCGAAGTTCTCAGGCCTATGAACCTCTGTTTGTTTATGCTATCAACATCCAGAATACTACCCACTGGCTAACACTTGTATCTCTTCAGTTGCGAATCGAAGGTAGATTTACAGATACGGGAAAACTGAGCTAGCACCTGTTTCCGAATTATTTATATGCCTTTCAGCCAGCTATATTCCCAAACAGTGGTACCAATCGTAAACAACTCGATGCGCATACGGAAGTCCAACTTTACTGCTGGTGCAGTTTTATTGGAGCACGCTTTCCGGAAGCATTCGTCTATAGCACAATTGGGTGGGTTACAAAGGGTAAGAACTCTTGTGAACATGTAAGTGTTGTTCACGGGTAACGATCCGAGATATGGAACTGTTGTAGGCTGAGTGAGATGCCTCCTAGACTCTAAATAAAGACTTGAAATCGTATTAGCGCTAAGTGCCTGGTCAAATATGCGTGGTACATAAATATTGGCCAGGGTTGATGTTAGATGTCCCATAGCGCGGACGGAAATTAAAGTGCAGCTTGCGCCTCTACCTGAAGGCCTCAGATCTACGCTCCCCTGTCTATGGTACCAACACCCAGAATGCTACTCACTGGCCCAGCGAGCAATATTTCGGTGTAAACGCTGGTATCTCTTCAGTTGAAAATCAGAGATAGATTTGCAAATAGGGGAAGACTGAGCTAGCCCCTGTTTCCGAATTATGTGTATGCCGTCCAGTCAGCTATATTCCTAACTACTTCAACCAACCGCAAACAACCCAATGCGCATGCTGAAGTTCAAACTTACTGTTTACGAGGGTTTATTGGGGCACGCTTTCCGAAGATGTTCGTCCATAGCACAGTTTGTTGGATTACAGAGAGGGGTAAGGACCCTTCAGAACATGCGGGTGTCGTTAAAGGGTGACGATCTGAGATGTGGGATAATTATAGACTGAGTGAGCTGCCTCCTAGACTCTAAATAAACCCTTGAAGTCGCATTGGCGCTATAATTACTAGAAATGATGCAATAAGACATTGTAATGCAGTTTGTTTGTCGGTAGCGCCATGCAAAGTCCAACTGTTTCTGGACTGTACGTACTCCTGTGGAGATGTCGTCCTCGCGGAGACGTTTGTCGTCATTTGGCGACTGTTTTCCCTCAGCAAGAATTCAAAATTTGAACACAAATTATAGAAACTTTTTGAATCGAGCAAATATGAATTAGGACTTGTATTGGTTTACAGGGGACTGGATTTTCGCCAACATGCCCTGTTAAATAGATGTGGGCACTAACCACAAAAGTGCTCTCCCTCGATAATAAGTCAAAGAGTAATGGATGGCATCTCATTTGCCTTCGGTGGGTACAGAGTATCGTGACAGTTTTTTTCGCCACTTACTTATCCCTCCAACCCGATTTTACCTGAAACTTCCTGATATCACTTTATGTACGTCGGGAGTTTTTTTCACCAGGTGTATTTTTTGCCCTCTAGACCAATCTCCAACAACTGCTCCCTATCCTGGAAGGTTTCCTCAGCAAGGCTCCCAACGTCGCCGAGCTGGATATGGTCAGGCAGTCGGTGGTCATTCTGCTTGGCTCCCTGGCCAAGTACCTGACACCGGAAGATCAACGAGTCGGCGCAATCTTTTCGCGGCTTATGGCCATCATCAACTTCCCTGCGGATGTTGTACGTCCTTTAAACCACCTGATTACGATGTTGCTGTATCTCTGATTTTTGCCACTTAAGCTCTTGCGGGTTAGAGTTCTCTATGCTGGCGCTAGGAGCCCTCGCAAAAATTCCCATTTTAAGCCCTATTTAAATCACACGCTATCGTAGTAATCGGCATATTAAACAAAATTTGAGTGGTCAGATTACAGCACTGGGCACTCAAAATTCACTTCAGTAAGTACTATCAAGGTTGTAGAATGTTTCCTGTGCTCTGTAGCTTGCTGGAAGTAACCACTCCACACCTAATGTTTTACAGGTTCAAACTGCAGTGGAAGACTGCTTGGCCCCACTGGCTCCAAAGCTGCCTCCTGACCAACTGGAAAAGGTCTGTCCCCGCCTCTTGTCCACACTGATGAGCAACTCCGGTTATGCTGAACGACGAGGTGCCGCCTACGCCCTGGCGGGCATTGTTCGCGGTTGCGGCCTCGTCGCGCTAAAGCAGTACAGTATTGTGGACAAACTGATGGCCGGTCTGTCCGACAAGTCGCCAAAACACCGAGAAAGTACGTGCTCTAAAGGCCACTCATTCCTCATTGAATTACCTTATTTGATTTGTTCCGAACCCCACATCCTTGTTAGATTTTTTTAATCGAACGGATACTCCATAGGCCCCTCTCAGGTTGTGTGATGACTTCGGATATCTGGGGAGAGACGTAGTCATTCTAAGAAGTTGTCGTCCATCAGGTGTTAGAAGATTAGTGGTCGTTGCCAAACCCTTTTCACAGTTTAATCACTCGTTTGTTTTTGACGCTCGTGGCCAAATCTATCTTCCATAGTCTCTCAGGGGAGCACATCTCGTAGATGCTTTAGCGACCGCCTTTTTTT